GTAGCTTCTTTTTTGCAAGTACTACATTCCGTAAATGACATAGATCTCTCCTTAGTCAAAATTAAATTACTGTTAGATTTTGTGTATAAAAATAAACTATTAACCGGTTGATAGGTTTCACAACCACAAGTGTCACAAGTATAGGTCATGACAGAAGCCATTGGTTTCACTTCTGTCGATCGGATAACAATGCCACTTATAACAACCAATTTGCCGATGTGAGCTGCCTTTACTTCACGTATTGCCAAAGCTTTACTCATAGAGCTTCCCTTGAAAAATACTTCGCTGAAATATATAACTTTTCTGAAAGCAGTTCAATACATCCTCCAAAGTATGCAATTCTTCTAAACAAGGGAATTTCTAAGATATTCAGGCATTATGAAAAGTTGAAATGCATTGAGATTGCCATCTATACATCACTGAACTAACCAAAATAAAAATTGCCTCATATTGCTAAAAATCCAAAACTTTTGAAATGAAGCACTGAAAATCATACAATCGACGAAGCAACTGAGGTGGATATTTTCTGCGCAAGTCTTGGATTTGATCTATTCCACCACCATCTTCATTTTGCTTTTTATCCAAATAGACACGTTGAAATATGAAAGCGTCCAAGGCATCCCGAACAGGTGGCTAAACATATATGTGAGTATTGCAAAACTATAATCTAAAAAAATTTCTGCTCTTAAAAAAAGAAAAACCGTAAGAAAACAATACGAACGTAAAATTCATGAATAAAAAGTTTGACAGCAACACATTTGTTGTTAAAGTAAATAACAACCGACTCAATATAAACTTAACATAAAGGATATGACTAATTCGATTGCCTGGTATTGGTCGCTAAACGTAGAATATAGCAGAAAAGCTACAGTACCAAATTTGAAAGTAATGGAATATCAGTACCAAAGCGGCTGAATCATTAATGAACTCATACATTACCATGACAATTAGATGACTGAGGTGGAAATATTTGACAAGGTATAAATATTTGACAAGTGAAAAAAAGAAACAGTTGACGTACTTGTCTCTCTCCCAATTTTTGCTGGATTAAAGAATCGATTACATCACCAAAAAGCATATGATAACGTCGAGCGTTCTGCTGAATAGCAATGTAAAGCGCAGGATCGTACTCATTTACATCATCCATGTTGATAAATAGTTCAACCTACAAAATTTTTGGGAATATTAAGCAGTTACTGTACCGTAAAAGCTTTTTAACAAAATTTATTGAGCTATGAAATGAAAGATCCAGAATTTGTGGTGAACATTATCGTTATTATTAGTATTACTATTATTCCCTTAAGTTAAATAACAATGCTTATTATGCCTATTTCATTAAATCTCGACCATTCCTAGAAACAACTCCATTGAAACTATGCACGATTTTTGATCCCTGAACAATCTTCGATTGCAGCCAACTTTGTCTTATATATTACTGATATAGTCAAGTACCATTGATACCGCTGTTATGGACATCTCAATGCAGCAATCAGGATTGCTTTGTTTTTATTTTTAGACTGCTCCTGTTATTATTGTTTTAGTAATACTAAATTATTTAGAAAACCTGTTCACGTTCCGCAAGGCGAATAATTTGTTTATCGTATGGAAATATTTTCGCATCATCAGCTTCATGATAAAATGTGGTTAGAAAATCCCGTATTTTTTCTTTCTCTCGATCGTAATCAGTGATTTCATAAGCCATCCCCGATGCAACACTAAAACAGCTATCATCATGAACAGTACAGAAAATAATGATAATGAGGGGCAGTGGAACACGGAGTAAAGTCTTTCATGAACTACAAATACAGTCATATTTCCCAAGGACATAAAAGTAAATCTAAGGTCAAATAATATTGGGTAAAAAAATTCTATCTTATTATTAAAACAGCATAATGACCATAACTTTGAAATTAGCCACATTCTGATATTATAATTTGCTAACTCCATTTCATTACTGATGTTCCCAAATAGTACATCTATCTATCTAGAATAAATACATGATTTGAAATCTAAAGTATAGTACATCAGTATAATAATGACAATTCAAGATTGTAACATTCGTTAATCAGAAATTATCAATATAAACTCATATAACCAAAAGAAAACAATACATTATTCGCAATCCTTCAAATTTAGTAAATCAATTCGTATCGATTTGCTAATCCAATAGTAACAGGAACTCAAAGTAACCATTAGAAAAGTTATCCGATACAGTCATTCATATTCCTCTCTAAATTATTCCACACAAAACTTCCTTCATACCAATTTGAAAAATCTAAAATTTAAATTCAAATGCTTAAAAATTCTGTTCCTTCCCGCTTCCGTAGCACTTCAAGAGCATGAGTGACTGTTGAAGCTTGACATCGTTTAAATATATCAAAGTACCAGCNGGTTGATTGATTGATTGATTGNTTGGTTGGTTGNNTCAGATAGAAGAGAATATACGTGAAAAGATAAGGGAAGAATTGAAGTACCATGATATCTGGAAGAATTACTTTAAGGTTACCTTGTTTCCTATTGTGCTAAATTGTTACACAATTGTATTTGGACATAGTTCATTTCATCATTACTAATGTTTAGCGATCACAATAGCCCACATTAGATGAATTATTATGAACTATTGATTGATAAGATGAGATCAAATAGAATACGTGTACACAATTACAGGCGAATATATTACTTTGCAAAAAATCTCTGATCACCAGAAATTATTTATACTACCATTTGACTATTGAATGCTGGTATAATTATATATCAAATCTCATTGTTTCGTCTATGGGTAATGAAGTTAACTTACTTGATAGATTAGTACCATATCTCCCTGTCTTACGAGATCTGACTATCACTCATTCTATGGCCTCCGCATTTAGTGCAGTAATGAGAGAGAATTATATAGAAATTTTCATTATAACAAAGTAAATGTCAGATCAGGTCACATTGAGCTTTTAAAATCATTTCAGCGCACGTTTGGCATTTAACATTACTTTTTGCTGTTTATTCTCTCAGTATTGTTGTTTCGATAAATGCTCATAAATAATGTCATTTAATTGTAACAACAACGATGGAGATTGATAAAAATTTCCTTTTTATAAGTTTCACCTGAACTCTGTCTCGCTTTATAAAAAGGAAAAGAAAAAGGCCATAAAATGGTTCTATACAACATGGATAGAGCTAATCAGCTAAAATGTCTTTAACTGGATCCGTGAGTTGATCCTATCAATACAATATGCTAATTTACTCATAAACTTCACTTTTTATATTTACGAAAAGCAATCTGTGTAGGTAATTATTTTCTTTAACTTTAATCCACCTGTCAGTCTTTTTATCATCTCTTGAACTCATAATATCTTTTTTTTGCTCTTCATTATTACATCGATCTCAAAGTTAGCAATATGATTTCTTATAAAAGCTATCACACTGTTATTTCTCGATTCTTTATCAGTAATTGATGCTATGGTTTATTTTCTTGAAAAGTATTTCACTTCTCTTACTTTATCAAATCTATTGCCCATTTTGTATAATAGATAAACGACTAATGACTATTTCTCGATGAGTAATTTTGGACTATTTTTATATGTGATAAATTTGTCCTCTTCAGATTTTAACTTCTCTTATTCTACTTTCTATTTGATGTTTTCTAATTTATGTTCTCCTTCTCTTGCCCTATTATGGGTCATAGATGGAATAGTAGGGCATGACAGTTTTTGAACATTCTCATATAGATTCTTAACATTTGCAATACATCAAATATATCTGCGGGCAAATGATGTCAATAATTAACTTAGGTCGCTCGCTTATAAACTCCTAATTCAAATTTTTGATGCTTTAAAGTGGAATTAAATATATTTATAATTATTCTATTGGATTTTCGATTGCTTTTTTGAAAAAGTGCAAAGATGGCACGGACTATGGATAGAAATGAGCTTTATAAAGAACCACAATCGTTTGCTATTGGATCATATACATTTACAAACTGTCAGCTAATAGGAAAAGGAACATATGGTACTGTCTACAAAGCATACGATATTCAACAACGGACATATTTTGCGATAAAGGTGATTAGATTAGACAGGTATGAGTTGATTCAATTAATTTACTCGATGAATAATATGGCTTAATTAGCCGTGCAACTTGATGCTTCATTTGTTTTATTTCTTTTACATTTTATATCCTTATTGAGCTATTATGTAGTATAACTCCATTAAAATGTCGATTCTTTTTTTT